CACACACACACACACACACACACACACACACACACACAAACAAGCCCCAAGCTTTATTACCACAGGCCAGATTTATTCACAGCCCTTTTTTCTTTTTGATTAAAAATGTCTCCTCCACATGTTGATTTATGAGAGCATGAGTGAGCGAGAGGGAGGGAGGCGGTGAGGATGACATCATGCAGTTGGCAACCTCTCGCAGAGGTGACATCCACTCGCTTTGTGTGTGTGTGTCTAAGTAAAGGCCCGTGTGCGGCGCAGCTGTACGACACAACGACCACAAATCCACCTGGGCGGCGTGTGTGGGCTGAACGACGCCTTTAAAACAGGTGTTTGTAAGAAAAAACATTTAAAGTCCATACGAAACAGATCACAGCCCAATTTACATCCACAATTGGATGCATTTCTGAGAAAAGAAAAACAAATTTGACAATTGATTTATCTATGCGATGCTACTAGCTTTACTAGAAACAGGCAACGTTTTCCAATTAGTAGCAGTGTAGCATGAAAATTTCCTAGTGCTACTTTGCAGTTTTTATGTCATGTTGTATTGCACACATAGCTTTAGCACCATGCTAGCCAATGCAATTATAGTACCATCCTAAAATTTCAATAGGAAATCTGATTTTGTAGTTTCAATCAGTGAAAAATGTTTATTTGTAAATTCAAGTGTAACTGTCACTTAATGCTAGTGCTAACACGTAGCACTTAAGTGTTAACTTCTTTCCCAAAAAAGTAGCTTGACTGTTTCTAGACTCTAATAAAAAGCATCATGATGTCTAATAGTAAATAGCTAAAACTGTTAATTTGAATGGATCTGTTAAAATAAGCTACTTTTAAGTCTAGTTTTAAGTGCAACTGTGGCCAAATGCTAGTGCTAACTCTTTTCCCAAAAAAGTAGCTTGACTGATCCTAAACACTCATGTGAAACATGAATAAAAGTTAGTTTAAACAGTCAAAAAAGCTTCTTTTTATTTGTAACTTTAAGTGCAGCTGTTGCTAACTGCTAACTTTTAGCTTCTTAGCTTAGAGTCACTTGACTGTTTCCAAACTTTCATACAAAGCATTAGCTTTAAAAGTCAACAACTAAAACAGTTCATTTAAATTAATCAGTTATTTTTATTTATAACTTTAAGTGCAACTGTCATTAACTGCTAACTTTTGACATCTAAATGTTAACTCTATTTTTTTCCCCAAATATTAGCATAACATCTCACAATTCACAGCAAACCTTTCCAAATTACTTTCAAAGCTTCTCCAACACTGAAAATGACACAAGAACAACAACAAAATGTCCCCCGTTCAGCCGGCTGTGCTGTACGACAACCTGACGAGACAGTAATTAGCGATCAGAGCCTTTTGAGAGTACAGCGGACGACTTCGCAGCCAATCAGACGGCGCTGTGCAGAGGGTTTTGGTGGCCAGGGGTTGGGGGGGGGGGGATGGAGTGATTAGAGCTCTGGGACGATGTGCACTGCCTAGTAAACATCTGAATCGCACAGAAGACACAAAAACACAGACACGCAGAGCAATTCTGAGGGTGTCACGGTATGAAAACAGAGATGGATTGATAGTGAGAAATTATATATCCTACAGTCATAGGTGGTACATAAAAAAAATAACTAAAACTAAATTGAAAATGAACAAAAATTATATAGACATAAAAAAAAACTAATAAAAAGTTCAAAAACACAAAAAATACTAAAAAATCCTTTTTTTTTTTTTTTTAAGAAATTGAGAAACAACGCAATCGCTTATAGCTCGATTGTGCTTTGTTGCGTTTTAAAATGCATAAATACAAAGTTTCGTGCCATTTTTGCATTTCCAAACTTAGTTTTTTTAAGATTGCGTCACAAAAAGAATAACTTATTTTGGAGAAAATCCATTCCATTGCAGTACATCTAGCATCTTGAATGCATCTGAAGTAAACACCCCTTTATAAGCGTAAACCTGAATAAAACGTAAGTAATATAGTAGACGTTCAAGCAACCTACGACTAGTAATAGTTTTGTTCACCCTCATTGCGTCAGATGTACATTAGCTTCTGGGCCGCCTTACAAAACCAACATACAGCAGAACAGAACAATGTCGGGCACACAAAGACGTGGCATATCTGACAGCGGCCCATTCTCACGTTATCTCTCGGGCAGCGCTTGAATTACACCTATTTTAGGCTTGAAAGCAGCAGGGGGAGGCTTTACCTCCGCTTTCATCCCGCGCTCGCACTCGCCCCTCTTTACTTCACTTGACTCTTTGTTTTGTTTCCCTAATGTGTCTCTAAACCCATCTTAGGGGAGAAATGGTGCAGAACAAATCCTGACTTCGAGCCTTGGAAATTAAAAGACAGCGCAGGCCCCGATCCATCTGATGAAGAGATATACACGCGGAAAAGAGAGACGAAATAATCCGATAAACAGTGATCTCGCGCTTCACGTCTCTACATGTACGGGGAGATCCTTAAACCCACACAGTTTTGTTTTTGATGATTATGAAACCTACTAGTTGGTGGTTTGCCTGGATGACTAGCTGATTAATCAGTTTAATCAAGTCCTGTATAATTAGATTAATTTCGGGTTCAATTGACCTAAAAAATACACATTTTCTGAGAGGATTTAATAATGTAAACATTCTAACAGATAAAACTAATTAAATTACAGATAAAAATATCAACACCAATATAAATATTTGAAAAAAAATTTCCTATCAACTAGCAGGTAAATAAAGCTTGTTTAGTCTTAATTTTAAAAATTGTTGCAAACAAAAGTTCTGAAACAATTTACACAAATATACCATATACCATATATACCAAATATACCATATACACTTTGATTTTCTGTAAAGCTGCTTTACAACGATTTGTATCGTGAAAAGCGCTATACAAATAAACTTGAATTGAATAGAAAAATCCAGATTTTTTTAAACGAGTGGAAAGAAGGTTAATCAACTAGTTGACCATCGCTAATGTTAAGAAAATTTTAAATTTAGTCTTAACCTCAAGTTTGGTCACAACCAAAAGGTTTCTTTCAAATATTAAACCTGCTGCTCTGCCATGACAGAACTTCTCACAACTGCTCATGAGAATAGTCCTACATTTTAATAGTTACGTATTAGTTACGAGTATACAGGCCAATGATATTGACTCTTAAACCACTGAATCAGCCAATATTGGGTCTGTAATGGTAATACGTCAGTGTTGTTTCAAAATGGCTGCCCTCAATCACTGAATCAGCCAATATTGAACGTGCAATGAGAATAAGTCTATAATGACTCAAAATGGCTGCCCTTAACCATTGAATCAGCCTATATTGGGCGTGCAATGGTAATATGTTAAAGTTGATCCAAAACGGTAGCCCTCAACCACTGATTTGGCCAATATTGGGTCTGCAATGGTAATACGTCGATGTCGACCCAAAATGGCCACCCTTAACCACTGATTTGGCCCATATTGGGTCTGCAATGGTAATACGTCGATGTCGACCCAAAATGGCCACCCTTAACCACTGATTTGGCCCATATTGGGTCTGCAATGGTAATACGTCGATGTCGACCCAAAATGGCCACCCTTAACCACTGATTTGGCCATTATTGGGTCGGCAATGATAATGTGTTGCGTTGACCCAAAATGGCACCCTCAACCACTGAATCAGCCAATATTAGGTCAAAAGTCTTAACATTTGCATAGCACTAACTCTTAATTCTAGAAAAAACTGTCTATTCTAGAGTTTACACACTTGAGACTTAAACTTGACTTCTAAACTCAAGTTTCATCTTAGTTTGCTCTTACATAAGGCCAAGGAGCCGGTGAGCAGCGGAGACAGCAGCAGGGCACTCAGGGAGAGCAGGATAGGCAGGTGGCTGGCTGGCATCATGTCGCAGATGACCTCTGACCTGGCTGGAGAGCCGTGGCCCCACAGGCTGTTGACGAAGGGTCGGCACGCTGGATGTGTGGCACTCTGGAGGAGAGAAAACAGGAGAATGCCGATGACTAATGACGCTCTCGCTCACAGACAAGAAAAACACAAAAATGTTAACATTGTTTCACCAGTCAACCATCAAGTACATTCACACGCTTTACCAGAACGCTCAGTTTGAGCCTGTTCATTTTCCCTCAGACTCCCAATTACAGTTTCACACAACTCATAATTAGTCAGGCTTTATCGCTGGATCTCGTCATTATTTACTTATCCGCCCATCTTGTAATTACCAAGACACTCATCAATATTTCAGACGCGTCTCTTTGTTTTAGCCAAATTGCGATTAATCCCCCCGTCACTGCTTTCTGCCTTGGGAGTCGACTCGCGGGTTGCTGTGTTTCTCACACATGCGGGGCGGAAACCCGGCGAATGTGCTTGTACACCATTTAATTAAAGATGGCAAGAACATCAGATGGCAAGATGGCAAGAGACGCACGAACATGTGTAGTTGCTTTCGGAAGCGCTCGCTCACGTCGAGAATGAAAGAGATGTTGACATAAAGCGCTGAGACTCTGTAAAGAGTGACTGCGGCATCTGTAGATGAACCTCCAGGCCTGTGTGACTCAGTAAGGGTGTTCAAACAAGTCACAGTCCAAGATGGCACTTTTTTTTTTAATTTGTGCCCCGGGGATCTGGTAGAGGACCAACAGTGGAAGCTGAGGAACTACTAAATGGACTGACAAATGGCTGATATTAAAAGTCTATGATATTTTGTCTAAATAAATTAGAAATAAAACCACTAAATGCTATAAGTGAATTAATCTTTAAATAAAATAATAAAAACATTTTTCATTTTCTAGAAAAAGGAAAAAAAGGATAACTTCAAGCTTAATCAAATATTTTTAAATATTTTAAATTTTCTAACAAAAAATTGTCAAAGATTAACTTAGTGTTAAATGATGGGAAACATAATTTAAATGTAAAAATAAGAGAAATGAGCATGTAAAATTAAATATACAACATTAGCCAATACGAATAAAATAAAATAAAATAAATGGTACTGACACACTGTGCCTTCTTCATAAAAATAAATAACAATATTTTTTATTTTGGATAAAATATTATATTTAAGCACAAAATTAACTGATAAATGTCTAAATAAATTAGAAATAAAACGCCAAAGTGTATTCCCAAAAAATAAACATTGACAATATTTTTTATAATATTATATAAAATACTATTAATAATACTGTATGAAATATTACAATAATATTGTCCCAAAATTTATTTAATATAAAAATTATACAAAAAATAAAGAGAAGTCATCAACACTGAAAACTAAACAGTCAAATGTCACCAAGAAGCCAAGATAGCTATATGATTGTGGGAGCCGGCATAATGCACTGCAACAGCCCACTCTTGTTCTCCTCCTCGGAGGGCACGTGAAACACTTCAAACTTTCATAATAAGTCTATTGTGTCCTTCTCCTGCGATCAACACAATAACACAGCCATCATATACACACACGCCGTGTCAGTCTGCATCGCTATTTGTGCTCTTCTAGTGTGGCGTGTTACGTTTCCAGAGAGCCTGTAAGTCATAATGCGCAAGTGAGGACCTAGTGACAGCTGGCTTGTCAGCTTGGGGTTTCCTGTCAACCTGCATGGCGACACTAGAAATTCCGCCTCACATAAACAATTGAAAACGTCAGTCGAGGGATTCGGCTCTGGAGCGCCACAAACAGAGGGCCAAAGCAGGCACGGCATGCCCAGACAAAGAGGAGGAATATGTCCGCCCTGATTTACGACGCTCTCCTACGCTGGCTGTCCAAGTCAGATTCCAAATGCAGCTCCCGTTCACCATGTCTGGAACGTGAAGGTTTGAAGTTTCATTGCAACAGTGTGCTACAACGAAATGCAAACTAACAATGCATTCATCAAAGGCAGTCAATTTGTATCACGCTTGGGGTGAAACGATTCAATTTCACGAATGCAACATGGTCGCATTTGTTGGTGCAAAAGTTAATGAAGTCAACTGACGTCAGAATATAGATGTTTCGCGAATCAAATGCTCTCAATTCATGTTTCCCACTTTGGCTAGCCCCCAAAGGCTGGGAAAATAAGCACATTTCAACTGTACTGCCATGCAATATGCACAAGGATCTGTGTGTATGAATAATTGAGCTGGACGGAGCGGCGAATGTTATGGACTCGTTGGGGAGCGACACTACATGCACAGCCACTATGCAACAACTTTTGCGTCATGCCATTATGGTTTGGCATGCCATTCTTAACAATGTGTTGCATGCATTTGATGCTGATGCAAAATCGTGCCACACTTGGTACATACAAACAGCTTTGGTGCGAAACCCCACACCTCCAAACTCCAAATAACCCAAGCTTTTTTAAACAAGCCATTATGAGCCAAGGATATGCAATGCCTGCGGATACCAGCATTGCAACCACTGACAGTCAGTCGAGCGGCTCTCGAGACGTGCATTTATGCGTGCCCAGGTCTTTTATCTTTCCAGGTCTTTCTATCTCCTATCTTTCTTGCTACCTCCAGCCAATGGCGATATGCCGTACAAGTGTGTGTTTTCTTTTTAATGGAGAGCATCAGCAGTCAGATGCAATCAGGGCTGTGCTCATGACTGGCTGGCTTCCTAATCCTGCACGTTTCCATGCATTATTAATGCTAACATGTCGGATTCGGCACTGAAACAGAGATACGACGACAGACAGAAAAGAGAGTGAAAGATTGAAAGATCTGGCATTTCAAACTGGGGTGCACGAAAAGATGCATGCCCTGCGGACGCAAGAATAATAGGAGTGTTAAAATGGGGCAAGACACAACTGCATTGTAGCGCGTGAACGGAAATAACAATCTTCTTCTAAATGAACGGCAAAGAAGAGTCATAAACATTTGGAACGGCCAAGTACAAACCGTAGCTGCGGAAAGCGCATGCTGCATTTAATGCGCTCGCATTAATGTGAGAGATGATTATGAAATCCGCAGTCCTGAGAAATGAAAACAGAAAGACAGCTAGCACTGAGTTTGTGCATACATGAAGCAGTTCGTCCCGATGTGTGCAAACAGATTGATGCAAGAATGCAAAAATCTGGTAGCAGCGCATGCCGATGAAGAAACCACTGTGCAGATGCTTAGAAAAGAAATAGATGCAGCTGCATAACAACTGGGAGGACAATAGTGTGTGTGTGAGAGAGATTTTTAAAGCTGGATAATCAGAGGAGGAAGCCAGATCGGAGTCCCCAGCGAGTCTGAGTGAGGGAAGAAACCATGGCGAACATCCAATTAAAACTCCCAATTAAGCGCCCCAGAGAACGTTCCTCAATATAGAGATCAAACCGCTGATAACGCGCAATCGGGCGTGATCTCAAAGACATCCTGCTACAACTTGTCTGCAACGCTCTCTTAACCCCTATAGTCATCTTTGACTCAAGATATTGTAGGTGATTGCATGCTAGCAGGGCTGATAACATCCCAGTCCTACAAAGGAAGATTTATCAGCATCACAAAGCTAACGAATGCTAATTACACTTCTATATTAGCTAAACAAGTGATGCACGCTGTGAAGTGTGTAGCGTGTCATTACGCACAATCCCGCCACCAAAAATGAGTGGAAAAGAACACGGGATCTTGATTTTTTTGCTTGGCCCTCTGATTGGATACACGCACTAAAAAACGTGATGGTTTAAAACCAGATTCAAGACAAAGACCTCAGAGGGGTCTCATAAAACAATGCCACGGCCATTTCTATTTACGAGCGAATGTAATATCCCTTAAAGAGCCCCTCGTAATGGCGCCCTTTCCCTCCGTATGCTACGGGCAACGGAGGCCCTTGTGAATGGCTCTTGATTCAGTCCAATTATCAAGGACACACACTACTCCTGTGGTCACACACACTTATGTGTCTGTCCGCAGCCGTAAAGTGAGAGAACTCGAGCACACACACATCTGGCTTTCATGTCAGTGCCAGATTTGACTGTGTAGTCCAGGTGGCTTGAGTTCGTGTTTGTCTTTCTTTGCTGTCCAAGCTGCCATTTTGAATAGTGCACAGAGAGAGGCCAGCATTCGTCCCTACGGAAAATTCTGCCAGAGGTGCTTTCACAATTCAGCTACCATTTCCACTGCAGTTCTGACAGTACAGCTGACATTTAAAGTCAATGGTAAATCCAAGTTTGTATAATTTAAAACAAGTATACACAAAACACTGTGAAATCCAATAACAAGAACCCAGAGAGTTGCAACACTGGTGACACGCATTAATTGTGACACAAAAACAACACTGAAGGTACTTCCTACCTCACTGGAAGCATTTTATGATACTTTACCAATTACTTTCCTTGCTTTCTGCCCTAAAGAATCATTAGTACCAAGTAAATGTCACACACACTCACAAAAAAAAAAAATATATATTTTTTTAAATTAAAATACAAAATTAAGTTAAATAATAAATGAAATATAATACATATAATTATTATTAGTAGTAGTAATATAATAATAATAACTATGATAATAATGACAAGAAATATTATAATTATTACTATTAATTATCATTAATAATATTAATATAAATATAACAATCAAATTACTATAAATATACTAAATACTATAACATTAAATACAGAGCAACAAATACTACAATCGATAGATAGATAGATAGATAGATAGAAAGGAAAATGAGACTGTATAAATAGATATCCAATGTCTACTATATCTACTTAATTTTCTCTGTAATCTACAATTTCATATTTAAGTTTTTTTTTTTTTTTTAGGGTGAATTCTGACTTGTGACGAGAATAAACGGGACATGTTCTTGACAGATTTAGTGAGATTCATCCTAAAGCCTCGCTGTACACTGCCAATGTTGAGTAATCATATGCATTTGCATGCATTTGTGGGAGCATTATGTAAATATTTTTTGCCAGTTCTATCCTCTCCCTCTAATGCGCCACACAGATGCATAACAATAACAGCATTATCAGGTGATTGCCTTTCATTTCAAGGCACACACCTGC